TTTTTTTTGACTTCATTGTTTTTTCCATTTTTCAAGCGCTATTTAAGCGGAAAATTTGTTGGTAAAATTCTTAAACACAAAAATACATCCCCATATATACTCAAACCAGGTTTAAGCAAATTTATAATTTTTTAGTTTTAATTTGAATTTTGCAATTTTTGCAATCTATCTATTTCTTAAAAAAATCACTTTCACTAATAACAACTCAATTTCACTAACCAAACAGTTCAGTAAAAAAAATTTCAAATTATTTCAGTATTATTTAGTAAATTAACTAAAATATTTTGGGCAAAAAAAATAATTTTAAAAAATGTTTCGAAAAAAGTAGGTAAAAAAATAATCAAATAATTACTCTTCACTCTAATTTCAATCCCTTTCAAAAAAAGTAAAAATAAATGAGTACTGAACCCCAAAAAGTAGCCCATTCTAATCTCTAGCCATTTATACTAACTCATTTTTTAGCCCATTGATCTTACCAACGAGATTTCGGATTCCGCTTCAGAGCGCGTGGATCATATTACTTATAAGATCTCAGCATTAATGAAAGCATTAGATGATAAAGATAACAAGTCATTTGAAAGTCATATAGCTCATACCACAAATCATATACAAGATAAAGTAATACCAAAGCTAAGTAATCAACAAGCTAGTCAAATATTAAATCAATTATTTGAAAATGTATCTCAACCTTGTAAAAGTATTAAAGTTCATTTACGTTGGGCTCAACAGATTTTAAAATTTCATCACGTTAGATTAAGTGAAGTAAGTTTTTTTATATTAATTTTTAATATTCTATTCTATTCTGTTTTTATTTTAAAAGTGAAAGAAACCGAGATCTTTAAAAAAGTATTAAAATAGATTTATGTAACTTATATTTTCTTTCAAAATAGGAACCTTGGGTGCTCGATAGCTTAAATTTATTTATCAGTAACAGTGATACTCGAGTAGAAATGAGTAATTTATTATCTAAGATAGAAAGTCGATTTGATCTCATCTTTGCCCAAAAAAGTTTACAAAAAAACCATGAGTTATTTGCTAGAGAAATTAATAAAAGAAAAAGAGATTTAGAAAAGGATCAACTTATGGATGCCTCTGAAGAGGAAGAAGAAGAAGAAGAAGAAGAAGAAGAGCTTTATCAAACTTGGAATGAAAATGATTTATTGGAAGAATATGATGACTCAGAATATGAATCTTTATCTGATACGGCTCCAGATGTCAAAGACAAATTAAAGTTTAGGAAAATTCAAGAGGAGGAAAGTGATGATGAAGAATAGATAGAAAATAGAACGTTTATTATTGTATTAAACAAAAAATTTAAAAAGGGGTTATATGATTTTTAAATAAATTAAGATTATAAGAATTAGAGTATGAATTTTTAATATAGAGTGCTATTATGTGTTTTGTTTAATAGTTATAGGATACTATTGCTTAATGCTATTTATGAATTATAAATATTATAAATCATTTATGATTTTTTTATAGAGATAATAATTTTATAAATTTAGTATAGGTAATACAATTTTATAGCTGCTATTTCGCTTTTATTTAATGAAATCTCAAATGAATAAAATTTAATTTGGATTAAAACCTTTATCACTATTCAAATGATAGAAGTTAAGAATAAAAAAATAACGGTTTGAAAATGATACCATTTACTACTAATAATAGCTAATTTGTAATAGCAAATAAATAAACAATAAGCTAACTTTTTTTGTTCTTTATAATTTTATTTTTACTAAAGGTAAAAATGATAACTACCGATAGTATTACCACTCCGACTATTTCAAATGAGAATTTATCTTTACTACAAAAGTATATACCAATTATTCACTGGCTACCAAAGTATCAATGGAAAACGGATTTATTACAAGATTTTTTCGCTGGTATAGGTAATCAATAGCAGTTCCATTTCATCTAGTCTGATGACTAACCTAATCTATTAGCCTTATTAGCTGTAGTTATCCCTCAAAATATGGCTTATTCTAGTTTAGCAGGTAAGTTTTATATTTTATTGAAGCTAAAACATAAAAAATAAAAACATTCAATTTTAATCCCTAATTTCTTAGGCCTTCCACCATACTACGGATTATACACTTGTTTAATGCCTGTTTTAATCTATATTATATTCGGTTCAGGTTCCTTTACTGCAGTTGGAACCTTTTCATTAATAGCTATCATGGTAAAACAAGGTTCTGATATCATTTATCAAAATATCCATAATATACCCATTGAAAATATAGCAGTAGATGATACATATATGGAAATTATATTTGCATTAACATTTTGGGTTGGATTATTACAATTCTTTATGGGGATATTAGGTGTAGGTAAATTTATTACGAAATATCTCTTACCTACCCCAGCTATCAAAGGTTTTATTACTGCTTCTTCATTAACTATTATTACGACTCAATTGTCACCTGCACTTGGATTTAGTATTCCTAAATTAGATCTCCCATTTCCAGTATTTTTTAAATGGTTTTATGCTGTGACTCATTATCAAGAAACTAATTTATTCACTTTTTCATTAGCTTTGGGATCTATTTTAGTTATACTTTTAGTACGCCAATTGAATTCTAAATTAGAACAAAGAGTGGGAAATAATCTAGAACTAACCCCTTTATTAAATTTAAATAATACTACAAGAAGGACAAAATCCATTAATTTACCAGATATATTAATAATAGTTATATTATCTACATTAATTGTGAAAACTTTACGATTAGATATCATAGGCCAAGTCCCCATTGTTGGTACGATACCAAAAGGTTTACCCAATTTTCAAATGTTAAATTTAAGTTATATTACCAATCCAGCCTATATCATACATTTTCTATCCCCAGCATTAACAATTGCAGGTACTGGTTATGTAATCACAATCTCTGCAAGTAAAGCTTATCAGTCAGAAGGTTATTCTAAATTATCTGAAGATCAAGAGTTGATCGCTATAGGTATATCCAGTATGATTGGTAGCTTCTTTAATGCTTATGCTAATTGTGGATCTTTGTCAAGAACTGCAGTAATGGTAAGGGGTAATGCCAAATCTCAATTAGCTCAATTAATCACTACTATGCTATTATCAATTACTATGCTTTATTTTACACCTTTATTTTATTACCTACCAAAAGCTTGTTTAGCTGCTATTGTATTAATTGCTTGTCAAGCTCTGTTAAAAGACTTGTTAGATTTTCCTCAAAGATTAAGGAATCAATTTACAATGGATGGGAATAACGGTGGAGAAAGTTTAATTGATTTCGCTATGTGGTTGGCAATGACTTTATCCGCTTTAGCCCTTGATCTTCAAAGAGGTTTGATTTGGGGCATTGGTATTGTTGTTTTGTTACAATTGATTCCTCAAAGATTTTTAGAACGCTAATTAAATAGTGAATGTAGTTAGCTAATGTAGTAACCTCAAAATTTAAATAAAAGAACTATATAAAATTGTACTAATATCAAAAATAAATATTTATATTTTAATTTATTTCTAAAAAAGTTGCTTAAAAAACTGTTTCATCTGCTATTACTTCGCTTGTAAAAGAATCACCTCATAGTTGAATTGAAAATCTCTTCTGTCATTCTTTATCTTTATTATTCTACTTTTTTCTTTTTATTGGTTAATTCCATTATCTCTTCTTCCGATGAGTCACTCAAATCATCATCAAACACAGTATTGTTCCTTTTTTCTACCTTTTTATTACCATTATTTAAATCCTTTGCCTTTAGTACGGATAATTTCATATTACTTTTAATCTCCTCACTTTCCTTTAAATATTTATGGTCATCAAATAAAGCCTTTTGGACATTTTTACCCTTCAATCCTTTTTCAATTTTCTTCTTTAATTTTTCCTTTCTTTCTTTATCCCTCTCTTTTTGAAGTTCAATATGTTCAATTAGTCTAAAAATAAGCTATTAGTATCTTGATTTGTATGATTTAAATATTTTAACTTACTTCCTAGCCCTTCTAACCGTCTTTAATCTTCTACCGTTTAAATCCCTACACGCATCATTATTTGAAGGAACCTTTGAATTCATTCTACCACCCTGTGCTCTAAGCATTGAACCAAAACCACCTTTACCACCGCGTAATCTAATACTTCCTAAAACTGGAGCTCTCAAATCAAACCTCTTACTAAGTTCTGAAAGTGGTTTATCGTGATATGTATCATAGGATAAAAGTGTGTTGTTTATAGTAAAATAAAGGGATAATAAACGTAGTTCTTCGGACATGGAAGTGAGTATTGAGTTATCAACTAACCACTTTAAAGTGGAAGTTGAGGCACCAGTGGGGAGGGAAATGAAATTTGTTTTTTGATTAAATGATAATTGAATTTGTGCTGGTAATTGTGCTATTGCAGTCATGTTGGATGTTGCTTTTTTATTAGTGAATAAAGAGTGTTAAATTGAAATTTTAGCTTGGAAGCATAAATTGAAAATTACTAACTAAAATGATTGGCTAAAGATGAGTTTTAATTAAGCTTCTAAAAACATAAATTTGGAATGGTTGAGTAATTAAAGCTGGTGAGAAAGAGAATAGCAATGGTTATGGTTAAGAACTGCAGGACTAATTTAAATCACCATAATTTTGAAGTTCTAAATATTTAATAAAAATATACATTAAATCAAGTAAACAAATATCCTTAAATTCTTAGTATATGGTGATGTATTTTTGTGTTTAAAGATTTTGCTAACAACTTTTTCACTCAAATAGTGCTTAAAAGATGGAAAAAGTGATGAAGCCAAAAAAACACCCCTATGTTATTAATGCATTTTATACTCCTATATGTATACTATCAATCAGTATCAGTACCTATAAATTTATATACAATAAATCCTACTTTTTAATAAAAACAAGTCATAATATATATCAATTATCACAGAAGTATGGAATGTCTTCTCGATATAACCTTGATGAAAATTTAAAAACAAACTATCGCATATATCCAACTGATACCCCCCCTTCCTCTTAAGAGAGAGGAAGAAGAAGTATCACTACTTTTATGTGTTTCCGTCCAGGTTCGAATTGGAGACCTCCTACGTGTTAGGCAGGTGTGATAACCAACTACACCACCGAAACTCGCTTATATGCTAGTCTAAAGGTACATTTGTAAATAAAAAAATTATGTTTGATTGATTCGAATTTTTGCTTAAGTAGGGCCAAGTTCAAGTCTAACTTATATAAGATTTTGGTCCAATTTAGGTGATTTCAATGTTGTTAGATCTTACTTTATCTTAATATTATTTTAGAACTAAATCTCTTATTATTTATGACTATAAATAAAAGCTAAAGCTAAAGCTACAAAATTTATCTAAGGTAAAGTCATTTATATAAAAGATATTTTAGCATATTTATACTACTCGAATTACTTTTAATAGTAATTATGTTGTTATAATAATACAAAAAGGAATAAATAAATGATTAACACAGTAATAATGCTTATAATGTTAATTCATACTATTGTTACAACAAAGGATATTAACACATCTACAACAAAGAGTTAATTGAAAGATAGTCATGTAAGTAATTAAAAAACTCTAATCCAAATTTTTACTTGATCTTTACTATGGTTTTATTCTGATTGAAATTTTTTAGAATGAGGTAGACTCACTATTGACGCTCAAAAAGTTAAGACAATAAAGCTAACTGTTATTTTAATAATAGATAATGTTGAGCATTTTTACGTAAGTATTTTTCAGTAGTATTTTGTACTATTCTATTCAATCTTGCTGATGCTATTAACCAAAGATCAATAAAATGAAGTTCTCTATTTTTTAGGATTCATTTTATAGCTTTAATTTTAAAAATATACCTTGTCACATTACTTGATCATCAACCTTACTGTGTAGCATCATCCGTTACTACCACAAAACTTATGAAATTGATCTTAATATTAAAATAAAAATCTTACTAAACTCATTTAATAAAAGTAATAGAATCTATCAATGTTATCTCTGCATTCCTCGTCCCTGATTTTTTTGGCCAAGAACCAATTTTTGATAATACATTATGCTATTTTAAGGCAATAATAGTTCATCATTATTACTATTTTATAATATCTTATTAAAGTAATGACTCAATTTAGTTATGAATGTTGATCGTTTTTTTATACAGACTATGATTATCCATTTAAGATTTCGGCTTTTATAATTAGATTAATGGTGCTTTAAAAAATGAGGTAGTTTCATTCAAGTATAGGTGGTAATTGGTGGGGTATTTGAGTCTGATGGAGGTGAAATATGTACTTTGAAGGATAAATAGATAGCTAATTAATTTCTAATTGTTTCAAAAGAATGTTAAAAATATAACGATCTGTAGCTATTAAACAATATAAGAGAAGCTCAAGCTTATAATATAAGACAAGCTGTACTCAACAAATGATTAGTATCCAAATTTACCATAGAAATTTCTAAAAATAAAAACAAAAATATTAAGTCGGCTTAATGTGGCATATTAATAGAATATTTGTTAAATAGAACTAAAAATAAGTTTCTAAAGTATAATATCTTCTATAGTATTTGAGTTCTAATTAAATTTATTCGCTTAATTCGAAATTAATAAAGATCACAGTGGTCATTATTTTTTGATATTTTTCAAGTTTTCCGCTTTTGATTCATTTAGTATTATTTGGGGTTAAAATTCAAGTTTAAAAAAAGGATTTGATTTTAAGAAAAGTTCATATTAAGGGGGGAAATAGAATATTAAAAATTATGGGGAAAAAAAGAGGTAGTTATATCATAGTATGATAGAATAAATAATAGTTTGATTTTTTTAACTCTTGTGTTAGATGCTTTATAACTAAGTATATTTTTACTTATAGAGTTACCTTGACTTCTACAAATCGTACCATCTTATCTAGCTACTATTTTATTTTATATAGTAAAAATTAAGGATACAATTATCTTCAATGCCAAGAAAGGCAATTAAATGAACCCAACTAATGAAACGTGGGAAATCAAATTTTAAATTATAAAACTTGAAAGACAAAATTAGAATCAAGTGCCTGTGTTTTTAACTTCTTAAAGTAAAGCTTATTTTTTTATTAAAAAATAGTATGATGTTATTGAGATTTTATTTAATAAACAATTTCATTATCGTTCAGTTTTAGTTGATTTTATAAAATCATTATTTGAATGATCTATTAAATTTAAACATACGTTTTAACTTTTATTTAAAATTTTCAACCATCTTACGATTAAGTTGTGTTATAAGAAACATCAAGCTTTAATTGGTTAAAATTTATTTCAACTTCAAATATATAAAGGACAAAAGAAAGTAAGTTTAGATTTAAATTTAAATTCTATTTTATTTTATTTTTTAATGTTTAGTTATTTAAAAGAGATCAAAAATCAACATCAGCCGGATTATCATGGACATAATATTAACGAAAAAAAGTTTAAGAGGAAGTTGAGCTATAATTCACAAGCTCATTTAAACAATTACATAATTAAAGACTTGACCACAAGTAGCATTTATGTTTATAAACCTATGGTAGCGCCAATACAACAATTTAAAATCGTTAGTAGTATAGACAATAAAAAAGAGAAACTCTATTCAATCTATTCTAATGAAAAAAGGATCTTATTTAATTTGCATTTTTATAATAAAAAATATGCTATTTTAACTGATACATATCAGCTACCTTTAGGTAAAATACAAAACAAAAGTTTTTTTCGTAGGAAAAGTTTTAAAGTCATGTTAGCTATACCAGAATTAACTTTTTGTAATTTGAGAATTCAAATATTACCAACTTTATTTAAACGCAATACTCCATTTAAGTTATGTATTAAAAACTTGGATGATAAACAAGAAATGATTTACTATTGGACTTATAAACAAAATCAATGGAATTTAATATGCTCTAAGCAACCAGAGTTTATATTAGCTAGTTATGATTTCTCAGTTGATAATACAGTCAATTTTTATTATTCCCTTCCCAATGAACTTACAACCTTATTTTTGTTCTCCTCCTCATTTTTATTGTTTAGAAAGAAATAAGCTTATGTTTTTTTCCACTCCTTTCTTTATTTAATCTCCTTTCTTCTCTTTATACTTCATCTTCTTCATTTCTTTTTTAATAAAAAGTTGATTCTTTTACCACTATTTCATAAATTATTTGATTTACTTTTTCTTTCTCCCATGTAATATAGTTCTTGGCCTATTTTTTTAATCATGATTTTGATTACTTTTTATGGCTTAGTTGAATTACAGTTTAATATATCTTCTAAGTACCTTTCAACCAACATTTAGAAATCCTTAATTAACCTTATTATTACACTTACTTTAATAAATAACCTTATTTTCTATTATTCAATTTGGCTAAATTATTGTTAGAGTAGTTAATTAGTCGTGTTATTATTCTTCCTTTTCTATAATAAGTTTTATTAATTTATGATTGTAATTTTTATTTTCTTTTATTTCACACTCAACTATACGGTTGGTTGATGGGTACTAATTTATTAAATGAAATAGCATTTACTACATATAAATGTATAGTTATTAAAACGGGCAAAAAGTATACGTTTAAATACATAAAAAATTCAGTTGTATGTTGGTTGGTGGGTACTATTGTTTATTTTATTTAAAAAAAGAAATAGCATTTACTGTATATATCAGTATAAACATTATAATAATTCAACCTTATATAAATAAATGAAGAGCATAAAGATACATATATAACATTATTAAAATAAATTAAAATAAATCAAAATATATAATTAGTTTAAAGTGCTTACCAAAATAAATCATTTATCAACATAAAGAGAATATATTTTATTTATAATAAGCAAAAATAAACAAACACAAATACTTCAACTATAACAACTTAGTTTGACCAGTCAATAAACCCAGTGGATCTTGTATACATATTAAGGAATAAAGCTCAACTTTATTATTTTTTATTCAAGTTTCTTAATAACTTTACTTTTAAAAAAGTTATTAATATTAAAATTACTACTATTGATATATAAAGTGGTATGATTTCTTATACACTTAGAAAACAACTACGATTATCACTACGAATCTAAATATAAAACATAAAAGATTTAAGTTACATAGCAACAAAAACTAAATATTACTATCATTTAAAATCGAAACTTAAAAATATGAGAATGTTTTTTATCAATTACCCTTTTTTACACTTTTTTAATTTAGGAATTAGATCAATCCAATCGTCTAAGTTCAAATATGCACCGATTAGTGATAAATTTCACAATTGGTTATTTGTATTATTGTGCTAGCTTGTCACTTATGCTTAATTTTTATTTTAGTAGTTAGCTAGCACAATTCCTTTGAACAAACTGTACTGATTAAAGCTCCTTAGATTTTAAAAAAGTAACAAATTGTTAAAAATATTTTCACCTTAACGTGAAAAAGGATAAAGCCCAACGCGGGGGTCGAACCCGCAACCTTGAGATTAAGAGTCTCACGCTCTGCCGATTGAGCTAGCCAGGCAATTTATTGTTAACAATATGTACAATAAAGTATAAAATACTAATATTTTCGTTGATTGAGTGACTGTTAAAAATCATACAGTGTCATTTTACCTATAAAAATTATAATGGTACACTTAGCTAATAATCAATAATCAAATGTCTATTATATAATTTGTTAATGATATAATATTTTTATTTAATGTAAATATGAGCATAACAAAAGTACTGAAGTTCTAAATTTTAATTGGTATATTAAATAACTAAATTTAACCAAATTCAATTTTATATTAACTTTGTGCTTTAGTTATAAACTAATTTACTAATTTAACTTGGTGTCTTTGTTAAATATATTTATTACTCAAATTTGAAGTAGAGAATAATGGGGCAAAAAATTATTTCACTTGAAGCATTCTATATAGCAACATCATGAAAACAATTAAAATTAATACATACTACTATCCTATTAAATGAAAATGATGTTGATTGAGATAATCTAAAACCATAGAATAGACTTACCATATTCATAATAAAAAGCAAACAAGATACTTTCTCATCTATTTAATAACAATTTAATCAATAATTTGAGGAGCATTATGTCGGTAAGCAAAATATTGACCAAAGATCTGATAAATGTTAGTAAAGATT